TTCGGGCCGTCGTTCCCCTGAACGTGGTCTCGCTGCGGCGGAGCCGAGCGCCCGTGTTTCCCCGGGAGCCCTCGCGTCACATGCGTGCACTTGCACGGTTACAAGGAAAGACATTCCCAAGTGACCAAATGTTAGGGAATTACAGTCAAATTGATGCTTGCAGAAGCCCTAGCCTGATTCCTTAATTGGTACGTATCAAGCCACAACTCTAAACTGCACAGGGAAGGGGGGGGGGTGTAAGACGATGGTTGCCCGGCTTCTCCTCCCTCCCTTCCATAAAATTTTACTCCGTTTCTGTTCTTTGCCATGAAACTTCGTGTTCATGGTGGCCACGAAGGAGGCTCGACACGCAGACCCTCAAGACGTTGGAAACCTTGCGAGGGAGGCACGGATTGCAAGGTGAAAAGTCGAGTTCACCCGGGAAAGCAGTGGTTCGAGGATTGCAAGAAAATTGCAAACTGCAGAGGGAAGAAAGTGGGTAGACGAGTCATGGTCAAATGCAATGTGTTTGCTCTGTGCTGCCCGAGCCGGCCCCGGGCCAGCCTGTTGCTAACCAACTGGCCAGGGGACCTTCCCACTGGGCAGAAATGCGCTTTCGCTTTGCTCCAGGCCAGAGGCGTGAGCTCCGGGTGCAAAGCAGTGCGTGTGCAACGCAGACGTGTGGGATGACTGCTGAGGTCTCACCGGGAGCACAGGACGTCCCAGACCCGAAAGAGTGCGGGGATGTCGTGTTAGGAGCAGGAGGGGACCTTCTCTACCCTCACCTCTCCCTTCCCATGCGCCCTCCTGATGGAGCCCTGAGGTCAAAGTCGTCCCTAGAGGGAGAGAGGCTGTTATTCCGTGAGATACAGGGCGGGCAAAAGTAGGCTTACAGTGGTGAATAAGAGTTTATTCTTGTCTTATTAATGATTGTCTCGTTTTCCATCCATACGGACAACCCTAAACCTACTCTGGCCCCACCCTGCAGAGTGTTGTTTCTGTGCTTCTGGCGAATTCTGGGGCCTTTTCAATCTGTTGGTAGGAGGCCCAATTTCAGTCTGACCCATTTCAAGTTAGGGAAACGGAGACGTGTTCTTGATGGGTGAAAGATGCGATAAAAAATAATGTGAAAATGAGTAGATGTTTTACTAAGAAGTTTGGGGGGAGACGAGAGGGAGTGCATTCTCGAAGCTGTTTCTCACCTACTAGAAGTTCAAAGTAACACATCTCTGGATGACGAGAGTGGCTTGGTGATGTCAGGGTAATGAAATCATGAGGACAGGACAGTTAGCTTGTCCTCAGAAAGCTTAGAAACTCAGCGCTAGGGCGTCTTCTGCAAAATCACAGCCCTAGCCAAAGGTTTTACGGAGCAATCCTACCAGTGGAGTACCAGCCCCAAGGTCTGATGGGAGACACTGATACATCCAGAGTTGTGAGCGTTGTTTTTTTAAGGTCTAATAGTCACTATGAGAATCTATTTTGAGAGCTGAGTAGGGGAGCCAGGAAATATAGATTAAGTGGATATTTAAAGAAGCCGGTAGGCCATCCTTCCATTAGGTAAAAGATTTTATAAATTTATGAAATGCATGGAATATTCGTACATGGTCAGAATCCATAAAAACGTTTCTGGAGTACTTGTTGTGTTCAAGGAGGTACTCTGATGGGATACGGAAGGAAGCAAAAAAAAGTGTGAGGTAGGTTCTCTCCTTCCTGAGGTTCAAGTTTAGTTGGGGAAAAAACTGGTATAAATGTATAAAAATCTGAAACAATATTCTCTCTCCCTTCTCTCTCTCTCTCTCTCTCTCTCTCTCTCTCTCTCTCTCTCATTCTCTCTGGGCTGTTAGAAATGAACAGGTTGAAATGGCCTAAATAACAATATAATGATGAATGTCGGAGGTAAATTTACTGTTTATTTGCTACAACCATCTATACCCTGGTCCCCGCCCCAGGGGCAGTTGTATTTTCTCTGCCTTTTTTTTTTTTTTTTACATTTAAGAACTATTTTTTAATTCTCTGACTTTATTTTTAAAATGATGCTTTTGATCATCTTTGGAAAGTCATCAGCCTGCACATTGTAAGTGAATGAAGACCGATAGCAGAGGTGTCATCATACAGAATGATATTAATTTGGGGGCACCCATTGGAGCCAGGGAATTATTAAGTCAGACTCTAAGTACCCCCATCAAGTAAGTGCCTCAAAGCAGGGTCTTTTTACTTCTGCACAATGGGGTAAACAAATTACCAAGGTCCAAAGCTACTTGACAGAGTTGGAGAGCCAATAATCATCTTTCTTTTTCTCTCCCACAGTGAAAGGTAAAGAAAGCACCAGAAGTACAGTCTCAAAACTATCCGAAAAATATACCTTTGCTTCCCTCTGGAATCCTAGTCCTGTATCGTTGCAATTAGTCCACATTTTTCCAGGAGTCCCCATATTATAAGTGATA